TAGTTAAGCCCTGCCACCATCTGGCTGTACAAGGTGGGGTGAGGCATAGGTGTAAAAAATCAAGCTAGGGCAGGGGTGGGGGGCTTGGAAGTGCTTACCTTTGGCCCACTGCAGCCAGGCCTCCCATGCCTCACCACCTGTCACGCCACTGCCTGACTTCTGCATCCACTTGTCGCAGCCAGATGCTGCAAAGCTTGTTGTACTGGTGGGGGCATTCTCAGAAGGACATCACAAGGCTTGCCATACCAGTGGAGCTGCTCACGCACAATGGCACAACACCATATCCTGCTGCAAGCAGATGCACTGGCGCAACAAGCCTCACAGTGTCCTTTCTAGAGTGGCTCCACCAGCGCAACGAGCCTCACGATGTTCTGCCATGAGCAGCTCTACCAGCACAACAAGACCTGAGTTCCAGGGTCCCAACAGCAGCAGGGCCAGCAAGCAGGGAGGGCGGAGGTCAAATTTTTGCACGGCAAAAATTTGTTACGTTGTGGCCGCAGGCAAGTAGACGGTGGGACAGAGGGTGGGGCTGGTGGTAGAAACGCTCCTATTCCCATCAGCCCCCGCACTTGCCGCCTCCTGCACATCAAAAAAATAAGACCTCCCTGAAAATAAGCCTGAGTGCTTATTTTGGGGCCCAAAAGAAAATAAGACCGGGTCTTATTTTCAGGGAAACATGGTAGCTAGCATTTAGCAAATAACTTGCCAGTAGTTATCATCTGTGTGACAAGTGCAACATTTAGGCAGCTACGATTGTCACTGTTGGCTTTCAAAGTTACCCTCATCCTCTGTTCTGTGAATTTATTTTTTCTAGGAGGAATGACAAACAATCCAGCTCCTTCTCAAGGAACACTTTTTTTTTTGAAAAGTTTTTTATTTTTTTAAACATAAAACATAAAATACATCTTTTTAGAGCAAGGATTTGATCCGGTATAGAGTAAATACAGTTACTCACATTTCCTCAACCAATTTTGTTCCAAATTTTATCCATTTACATCTTAAAAAAAGAAAAGAAAAAAAAATCTTATTCTAAACATTTATCATTCTACTATGTCGCCCTAAATTCTAAACAATTATTTCCAAATAGACATCATTCCAAATCTTTGTCATTTTAACAATCAATATTTCTTATATATTCCTCATTTCTAAGACCCATTACATCAAATCTATATTGTACCTCTCTTAGATGGCAGCTAGTACCCATAATCTTAACAAAGAATATTTTCCTCCTCTCTTAATCGTTTCTAAATCAATTGACATTTCCATCTAAAATTTATCACTCCCAAAATACTTTATTTTGAAATCTAATATTTAACTGGTTCATAACTTAAATAGCTATTTCCCAACAGTGTTTTCCGCCACTTCTATCTCTATTTATTTAACTGGTTCACAGTTTGGTTTAACTATTCTCCAGTATTATCTCCTCCACTTCCTCCTAGGTTTATTTTTTGGCTGGTTCACATCTTAATCAGTTGCTTTCCAGCAATGCTTTCCTCCACTCCTAACCTTACTTATTTAGGCTGGTTCACTGTGTAATTTTAACTGTATATCAACGTTATCTCCTTCACTCCTCCTAAATCTATTATAAAACTGGTTCGCAACTCAAATAGTTGCTTTCCAGCGGTGCTTTCCTCCGCTCCAACCTTTATTTTTAACTGGTTCACAACTGTATTTCAGTTGCTCTCCAGGTATATTTTCCTCCACTCCTAACTTTTTATTTTTTGGCTAGTTCACAGTTTTGCTTTAACTGTTACCCAGCGTATGTATGTATGTATGTATGTATGTATGTATGTATGTATGTATGTATTTATTTATTTATTTATTTATTTATTTATTTATTGGTTCGATTTATATGCCGCCCTTCTCCGGAGACTCAGGGCGGCTTACAATGCGTTAAGCAAAGTATGCTTTCCTCCACTCCTAACTCTATTGGCTGATTCACAGCTTTACTTTAGCTGTTTTCCAGCACGTGCTTTCCTCCACTCCTAACTCTTATTTTTATTTTTAACTGGTTCCCAGTTTTGCTTTAACTGTTCTCCAGTATGATGCTTTCCTCTACTCCTACCTTATTTGTAAGACTAGATCACAGCTTTACTTTCACTGTTCTCTAGAATCATGCTTCCCTCCACTCCTAACTTCATTTATTTAGCTGTTTCATAGCATTTTGTTTTAATTATTGTCCAGCTTTATGCTCTCTTCCGTTTCTACATCTCTTATTCAATTATTTAGCTTTAAATTAATTCACAATATATTACTCATATTTATTTTTAAATCCATTCTCCTCCGTATCTTTAACTGGTTTAAAATAAAAAAGTACATCAACAAATATCTTAACTCCTATTCTCTCCTAAATTTTCTCCTGTGCCATGCTTATTTCCAATAAGTATCAACATTTTAAATCACTTTGAAATCAATTTTCTATAATTATTAAATCTGTAAATAATTCTTTTTAATATCCAGCACCTTAAAGAACATTTTCTTCTAAATTATTAGATCTGTAAATAGAGCTTAAAAATTCCAAATTTAAAAAGGTATTAAAGCATCCAAAAATCATATTTTTCAATCATTTATACTCTTTTTTCTAGTCAAATTGTTTGTATATTCATAAAATCAACTTTAATAAAAATAGTAGTGAAAAAAGAGAGAGAATAGTAACAATATTAATAATAGTTAAAATAAAAAAGAAAAGGAGAAACAAAAAGAAAAAAGAAAAAGAGAATAGAAATATAACAAAAGAAATTGAAAAGAGAATTAGAAAAAATAGAGGGGAAAGGAAACAAAAGAAAAAAAAAGAAAAAAGAAAAAAAAGAATAGAGAAAGAGCAAAGAGAAGAAGGAAAGTATCCCCTAAGATTGTTCAGAGATCAAACTCCCAGACACCATTACATCCATTTAATTCAAACTATGGTATTTTGCTATCTTGTTACATGATATATTCCATTTTTTTTTCTTTCTCCGATCTGTCTGAGTATATTTGTTTTCCATTTTAATGTCCTCAAAGTTATAAGTTCTATAGAGTTAATTCTGAATTGGCTATTCCATATATAGTATCATCATGTCCGTCTTTTGTTGCCACACCCTTTTTCTCTTGTTGCCACGCTTATTAAATCAGTTTTCATTATTCCATTTAGTTTCTTCTTTCTGATCTTCAATAAATCCTCCAGTACACAAATTGTATGTCCAAAGTCAAGTCTCTTGATTTTTTTCTCAAAGTAATCCACTTTAAGTAACAAGCAACAAAGTTTCTCTTTCAAGTAACAAGCAGTCTGGAATTTACACTTTCACTTCTCAGCTGGCAGCCATTTTTTCCATCTCCATTTGTCTTTTGTCTTTACTTTTAAAAGCATATTTATTTCCTCTTCTCCTTCCTCTCTCTCAAACATAATCCAGTCTCGTTTAGCCACAAAAAAAAAGAAAAAAGAAGACCAAGTCTGTATAAAGTCATTTCCAAGAAGTCTGTGATTAATGCTATCTATCAACAGGTCTTTTCTCCACCATTCATTTGTCTTTTTGCCCCAATATTTTTCAGCTGCTGTTAAGGCTGGAGCATACTTATTTATAATCCAGCTTTTACAGGCAGTTCCCGCCTGGGCAGCATTCCACTCACCCGGCTTTCAAACTCCCTGCTCCGCTCTCCGCTTCTCCTCCTGCACATTCTTTGTTCCGATTGTCACAATCTCAGGACAGCCACCATGGCTGCCGCATCCACCGCCGCCGGTGCAGAGGGCAATCCTCTGGCCCTGAGGAACCTGCCCGTTCCTCTCGGCCATCCAAGGGGTCCCTCTCTATCCCCCTGTCCCTACAGGACAGGGTAGGTCCATCAACCTGCCAGTGGCGGCTTAACAGATGGGGTTTTTCGTGGGGCTCCAAGGAGCCCTGCTAATTCCCCGTCTGAGCCGTTGTGACGTCAACCGGACGTTCCTTCTCAAGGAACACTTTGATTTTAGTTCCAGTGAAGATCCATCAAGTTTTTCATTCTTCTGTGCCCTCTATGTCCTCTCCATCCTATGCACCCTCTTTTCCTCATGTTTAAGCTGAGAATGCAGGAAGAATTTGAGATGATGTAATAAATTTTAATTTCTCAATATTGAAGAGGAAAATTAAAATAATTTATTGGAAAAAGCTACCCTGATGCCATACAAACCTTATGGCAGAAGCAGACCAAAAAACGATAATACACTTAATAGTAAGTGTACCCATCCTTTGAGATAGCCCAGGTCAAGAAACAGGCATAGCAGGGAGTGCAGGAATACTCTTTATTGTAATAATAATGTAGAATAACTGAACTTCAAAAACCTATCCAAGTTTCTGTCCTATCTTCTATGAAACAACATTTAGGCGGGGTTATTTTGAATTTTGTTTTTACATTTCTGTGTATCTCAGAACCACATACCCTTTTCTTCAAATTCTCCCTAAGGACCCCAAGGTGCTTTTCCCAAAAGGCAACTCGATTTTCTTGAGTTTTTTCTTTGAAAATGTTTTGCTTATCTTTATTGCAGTCAGTTTTCCATTCCTGTTAGAATAAATTATGCATCTGTATAATGTAAATTATTTTAATGTGCTTTGAATACTTTATTTTACATTATGTCATTGATGAATAGATATAGTTTGCACCGTGAAAGGAACCTTTCTGCTTCAGAATGAATTGGAATCTAACAAGCTTTGATCCACAAAGCAGACAGGTGTTGAATTCATCATTTTATTGCAGCTCATTCTGTTCTGGAAACTTTCTCAGCCTCAACAACAGATTGTTAGGGAATTGATTGGTGAGAACACTCAATCCCTAGCAGAGCTCTGTTTGTTTGTTGAACACTTTACATATATGATACTTCGAGTCTGACTTCTAAGCTTTATGCATGAACTTTGCAGAATAATTTGTTTGTAAATTTGCTCTTGATGCAAAATATTCCCAAGGGCACTTCTAATGGAAATGAATAGTAATAATTTAGTCTCAAATAATCAATACCAAATAATAATAATTCATTATTTCTTTCCAATTAGATCTGAAAGTGAGTGATTCTACCCAAGCAGTGCCAAAGGAACTTAAAGTACCTCAATGTTTGCCTTTCAAAACAGGTAAGGAAAGATTCTTGTATAAAAACAAATATAGCAAATGGAAAATTTCTAAATGTCTAATATTATGAGAAGAAAAAGTTTTCCCTTTATCAAATTCCCCAAAAGATGTCATATAGAATTTTTTTTTAGTACAGTCAAGGTTAAACAACAATGCAGAGTCCAAAAACCAAGCAGGATCCAAACCAAAGGTTTATAACATTTAACAAGTAAAATTGAATTATGTTAGCTAGACTGCCAAACATTGGGATTTGAAAAGCATACATTGTTCCAGCAGATGTAGATCCTCAACTAACAGCTTTAGTCTAGTTTCCAAATCCCATCAAGCTCTTGCTCTGAGTAAATAGTTCTGTTCTCAATAAGCCCTCTACTTTCTTTTGAAAGTCCATTAGTTCCAAAGAGCTGTCATTTTACAAGAAGTTTCATTGTTAGGCTTTTATATGGAATCTTGTTCACTGGATGGCAATAGGCTAGCAGTTCCTAAGCATAGTACATAAAATTATCTGCCACAATGTCCTTTCTGTCAATGACTACTTCAGCTTCAACCACAATAATACACGAGCAAATAATAGATACAAACTCAAGGTAAACCGCTCCAAACTCGATTGCAGAAAATATGACTTCAGTAACAAAGTAGTCAATGCCTGGGATGCACTACCTGACTCTGTAGTTTCTTCCCCAAACCCCCAAAACTTTCACCTTAAACTGTCTACTGTTGACCTCACCCCATTCCTAAGAGGTCTGTAAGGGGCGTGCATAAGTGCACCAGTGTGCCTACCATCCCTGTCCTAATATTCCTTTTTACTTACTCTTTTCATGTATTCAAGTTATGTTTATACTGTTACCTGTTATCTTATATATGCTTTTTTTTATTGAAAAAGTTTTACAAACATCAATTTTTCCCCCATTTTTCCCCTCCCCTTCCCTCCCTTAACCCCCCCAAACCCTCCCCACCCCCCATGACTTCCCCAAGGTGAAATCTATCCACATTTATTATATCAAAGTTTACCACCCCTCTATTCTCCCCCCTGTGTACTATACAATTCTTCATGACAATAAGCTATTTTGCCCTCTATAAACTATACATTTCTACACAACATTTAGCTGAAGGCTATCTGGTACTTCCTAGTTTGGTATTTATTCTGCACGTAATCTATCCATTTCTTCCACTCCCATACATAGGTCTCTTGAGTCCGATCTTTTAAGTATGCTGATATCTTCGCCATTTCTGCAAAGCTGGCCATCTTCAAAGTCCATTCTTAAATTGTAGGCATATCATCCCTTTTCCAATATTGACCAATCAGTAACCTAGCTGCTGTCACCATATACAGTATCAGTTTTGTTTCCCCCATTGAAAAACCCTCAACTATACCCAGTAAAAACAATTGAGGAGAAAATTAAATTTTTTTCTTCAGAACATTTTGCATAACCCACCAAATTTTTATCCAAAAAGCCTTTACCTTCTTGCATGTCCACCATATATGGTAATATATAGCATCTAAGCAATCACATCTCCAACATTTCGGTTGAACATTAGAGTACATGCATGACAGTTTCTTAGGATCTAAATGCCACCTATAAAACATTTTATAAAAATTTTCTCTCAAATTCTGCAACTGTGTAAATTTAACATTCTGAACCCATATTTTTTCCCAAGTTTCCATCATAACTGGTTCTCCGAAATTTTGTGCCCATTTTATCATACAATCTTTAACCAATTCATTTTCTGAATCTCTTTCTAACAAAACATTATAAACCCTCTTAATATGCATTGGGCCTTTCTCTTTTATCTGTCTAACCAATTCTTCTTCATGCAACATTAATCCTATTTTTTGATCTTCTCTCCATTTCAATTGAAGTTGATTATACTGTAACCATGTTAAATTAATCCCTTCTTCAAACAGTGTGTTTAATGACTTCAGTTGCAATCTGCCCCCATCATTAAAAAGTACTTCCTTGTATAAACCCCCCCCGAGTGACTTTATATTTATATTCCGTATAATGTGACCAAGATCCAGCCACAACGGTATTTTATAATCCCATTTGAGTCGGTGCTTCTTCCATACTCTCATCAAGGAGCTTCTAAGTATATGGCTGTTAAATACTTTATCCACCTTGTTTTCATAAAATAAGTATGCATGCCAGCCAAATTCAAGATCATAACTTTCTATATTCAATATTCCAGTCTTTGTCCTTCCAAACCAGTCACTTGCTTGAGTAAACGCTGCAGCTTCATAATACAATCGCAGGTTTGGAAGTTTAAGACCACCCCTTTCACGAACATCTTGCATAATTTTCAGTTTAACTCTTGGCTTTTTCTCATTCCAAACAAACTTATTCACTCCTTTTTGCCATTCCATCAAGTATTTGTCACTTTTAAGCACCGGAATCATTTGAAACAAAAATAAAAATCTAGGTAGAACATTCATTTTAACTGCTGCTATTCTTCCAAGTAAAGACAGCTGCAGTTTTTTCCAAGTTTCCATATCCTTTTGTACCTTTCGCCACAACACCTCATAATTATTTTGAAACAGTTTTATATTTGAATCTGCAACTTGAACTCCTAGATATCTCACCTTTGATACTATTTCAAAGCCTGCCTTCCTTTCCAATTCTTTCTTTTGATCAGCTGTCATATTTTTAACTATCATCTTGGTTTTTTTCTGGTTCAGTCTAAATCCTGATACCATACCATATTCTTCTATAATGTCTTTCATCTGAATTATTGATTGCATCGGCTGTGTTAGGGTAACAACCAGATCATCTGCAAATGCCCTTGTTCTGTAATCCTCTTGCCTTATCACTATTCCCTTCAAGGTACTTGAGTCCCGTATTGTATTCAGCAAGACTTCTAAGGTTAAAATGAACAACAACGGGGATAACGGACAACCTTGTCTTGTGCCTTTTTCTATACTAAAATTTGTAGTTAAACTTCCATTAATAATAATTTGTGCTGTTTGTTCTTGATAAATTGCTGCAACCGCCTGTACAAACTGATCCCCAAAGTCCATCTTTTTTAAAGTCTTTAATAGAAAGTCCCAATTCACTCGATCAAAGGCCTTCTCCACATCCAAAAACACCAGCACTGCAGCAATCTGTTTATTCTTCTCAAGATATTCCAATAAGTCTATAATTTGCCTCACATTATCCTTCATATATCTGCCTTCTATAAATCCTGCTTGATCATGATGAATCACCTCTTGAATAACTGGCATTAATCTGTTGGCTAATACTTTCGCATAAATTTTATAATCCGTATTCAGGAGAGATATTGGTCTAAAATTTTCCGGTTTTATAGAGCCTGCCTCCTCTTTCGGTATCAGAGAAACAAAAGCTGCTTTCCATGAAGGGGGTATTTTCCCCCCTTGTTGTATGCTACAAAATAAGTCTTTAAGATGTTCAATCATTTCTGCTTGTAAAGTTTTATAATACACCGCAGTTAAACCATCCGTTCCTGGAGCTTTAGCTGTTTTCAGTTGTTTAATAGCAACAATAATCTCCTCAGCTGTTATTGGTAAACTCGTTCTTTCCTTTTGATCATTAGAAATTTTTATAATTCTCTTTTCTTCTAAATATTTATTTATAAATTCATTCTGTATATCATCTTTAGCATATAGTTTAGAATAATAATCTAAAAAGGCTTCTTTCAAATAAAAAAAAAACTGGTAGTTTGACACATGATTTTGCCAAGCTTTTCTTATCTATTTTAGGATCTATTACTCCATTCCAATCTCCCATAAGTAAAATAGATCTATAATCCCATTGTAGTATTTTAGAATGCAATAACTTGTAAAAATTTTCTTGTTGCTGATTAGGAGCATAAATTCCAATTACCAAGATCGGACCATTATCTGTAAAAAGTTCTATTGGTATGTATCTTCCAGAATCATCTGCTTCTATAATTTTTGTTAGCAATCTTTTATTTGTATAAATCACTACCCCATTCTTTTTCTCCGAATTTGAAGCTATAAACTGTATTCCTAATCTAGAATTTATCAAATATTTTTGATCTTGTGTTTTAATATGAGTTTCCTGTAAGCAAATAACATCATTATTAGATTGTCTCAAGTAATGAAATATCTTCCTCCTTTTCTGTGGTGAATTCAATCCGTTCACATTCCAAGATAAAAACTTAATTGTCATCTGCAGGCTCTTGAAGCGATAAGAGCATTTGCTGAAGTTTCTGTTCCACACTATTGGTCTTCGGCTTAGCTCCTCCCACAGCTTCGGATTTTTGTGCTTTACCATTAACTCCCTGTTCGTCTTGTGGTAGCTTAGGGTTCTGATGTTGTTTCTCTAAGAATTGTTTATAAGCTGCTCGAGTAATACGCTGATCTTTAGCACTATGCAACATCCAATCAAGATCCGCTGCTACTTCTCTTGTATTTTTAGGTGGTTCAATTAAAGACTCTAAGGGAAGATCCAAAGGTAGGCCCCCTACCGCTCCTTGAGTCTCTAGTGCCTCCCTCTCCGTCTGTTTCCTCTGCTCTTCAAGCTCTTGTTCAAATTGCTTATCCTTCTCACCCTCCATTATGGCTATAACCGAGGAAGTACGTGGAGATGCTGTACTAAGTTTAAAAACACTGAAATAGAATTCTTCCGCTTTTTGAGGAGTATTTAATCGATATCGCTCTTCTTTTAATTCCCCCCCCTTTTTTTTCCCCTCACCCTCCCTAACCCCCCCTCCCCACCCATCCCCCCCTGTGACTTCTTCATAACAAAAAAAAAAAACCTAATTCATAACAGATTACTTACTCCCTCCTCTAAATATTGACCTTTACTTACTAAAAATATTATTAATATTATAACATCCCCCTTTATCCATACATTTCTGAGAAGAGAAAAGAAAGGGGAAAAAAAAGACATTATACTATAACATTATAGAATAACTTCTCCACTTAACTATACGATAAGTCCTACTTTAACATTTAATCTTCTATATATATTACTATAACATTTCAAAGCGGCCTTCCCCATAAAATCTAATTTAACATTTATTCCAC